TGCTGTCTATTAAACCAGGGCTATGGACCACTGAATACTGATACAAAGCACAGAGAAAACCTTAATCAACTGATACTAAGCACAGGGAAAACCTTAATCAACTCTTGCGAAGTGCTTTGAAATCTTTTTCTGCACAAGGACAGAGAGACTTTAAGGGGACAGAAAGCAGCTCCTTCGCAAGCCATGTCAAATGTTTTTAGCAGCCTCCAGTACAAAAAGCAGCACAGTGGGCTCTGCTTGTGAGTCGTTGCCATCCAGCACCACATCTCCAGCTGCTGAGGAAACCGTTTAACTTATTTTTATGTGAAAAGAGGTAGACAGACACAAACACACACACATATATGTATAAAGCACACACACACATAATCTAGGAGGCAAAAAGAGAACCTGTATCTGCATTTGCAATATCTTCCTGCACCAGGTAAGGAAAGCATCTTTTTCCTTTTAACGGAGTGCTGTACATACATTGTTTCCTTGCAGTCTATCTTTAGGTTATAGCAGTTCACAAGGTTTTTTTCAGCAGATGCGTTATTCAATTACTTCAGGGCTTTTCCATTTGTAATATTATGAAGCAATGATAGCCAGCAGACTTCACCTGTCTTTTAGAGATAGCCAGCCTGGTAATTTTAACTCTGCCCATTTTATCCACACCAGTAAATCTCATAACATGGTTATAGAGAGATTCCAATTTTTGTAGAACCTTCTCCCGGGAATTCCTGTATACAATATTGCCATAGTCTGTAATGGACATAACCTGTGATTGGATTAATGTTTCCCTAGTGAAGAAGTCAAAGCATTTCATGTTCCTATAACTGGTTTGCAGCTCTGCAGTAAAGGTCTTTGGTGTGGCAGAGAAAATAATTGCAAAGGCAGCCCCAATCAGAATATATAATCCCCTCACAGCGAGGGTCCAATTCAGCGCAGTTAGACTGCCTGCACAGGGGTTTGTAGTCGGATTTTCTTGTCAGCCGAATGCACAGAAAACAAGTTAATTTTGGTATTTTAATATTCATCACCCAGTCCTATACAAAGGGAGGTAAATACATTGCTACTGCTCCAAGGAAGGGCCCTCCAGGTCCCCACGCAGAGAATGCAGACAGTCAGGGCACTGCAACGGGGTCCGGTCGCCCCACAAGAAGAGCCCTCCACTTGTGCTCAGATAAACACGTGCCTTTGGTCTTAGTGGTAAACACCATTCTGTCAAATTAGACGCCCAGTTTTGGACCCATATTGGCTTCCGAACCTTTTAAAATCCCTAATGTTGCGTTACCTTGGACCTGACACAGGTGACTAGAAAAGAATTACTGTTGAGTGTACAACATGCGTTACTTACGTCTGAGACATAGCTCATCTTCCCCAGGAAGAAGAGGCTCATGGCGCCAGAAGTAGGCTCTGAAGCAGGGTCTGCCTGCCCAGGTGGAGGAGAACTTCACCGCTCATGTGGGAGGAAACTGAACTGAAGACCGGGAGCAAAATGTCTCCTATTTTCAGCTCCCATGATAGCCTTCCCAAGAATTTGTGAAATGGTGTGTGCACATCATGCATAATCTGCCGCACCAAAGTCTAGACCCTCATCATGTCAGCAAGTCCCCACAGGAAAAGGCTCAGGCTCCCATCCCCAGCTGGGTGGGGAGAGCTTTCAAGAAACATGGTTTATTGGTGAACCCCAAAAGCAGAGGTGGATCTCTGAACAAAGCACTGTAGAGTCAGCTCTGCCTATAGGCTTCAGAGGAGATGTGATCGGGATCTTCTAGTGGAAAAAATGGGTAGGGGCAGCTGTGGCTGTGGGTGAACCAGAAGGTGCCAGAGACAAACTGAGACAGGACTGAAATGGGAGGCAAGAACAGAGTTTGAACATCATGTGCTGGAACAAGTATAGGGTGGGTGGGCTCCAGAACGGGCACACTGCCTGACTGAGGAACGAGGCAGATGCTCTTGGCAGATAAACTTATGTTTGGATGTTATGGTATTGCTAGGCAGGTGGAGAGGATGGGAAGAAGGTTACCAGCATGGGAGTTGACAAATGGGATGTCATCATTTCCCATATGGGCAACTGTCTCCAATCTGTCCTTTGCATCCAACCGAAAGCTTGGGATATCTCAGCAGAATGGAAGCATCTCTGGCAGAGGTGAGCAGTCTACATTAGGTCTATACTAAGACCTGGAAATTGCAGGCTGTGGGGCAGATATGGGTGGCAGGAGACAAATAAGAAGAAGAGACAGTGATTTCTAGGAAGATCCAGTTATCAAATTTAAACTTAAAAGACCAACTTTTACAAGTCAGATAGTAGGAGCCTCTGACAACCAATAGCAGGACAGCACAAGGGCTTCCCAGAACCCACTTGCCCACATTTTGGTTTTGACGTGACTCTGGGGGCCTGTGAGGAAGAAAGAATGACAATGAAACAGCACAGTCATTCCACAGCTGCTTTTATCGCTTTATTCATACTTCTAGAGTAGACTTTTTAGCGGCTAAGCAAATACCTGAAACTCTCTCATTATATATATATATATATAATCATTCAAAAAGAAATAATGAGGAATTCTGCAAGTGTTTTTCCAATGAATATGCAGAAGGAACATTATCACCCCAGTAAACCAACTTTGAAAGTCTTCCACTAAAACCCTATAAAACCCAAACGATAGTCATAAATTAGCACTAGATTAATTCAAAGGAGAACTTATCCCCCCTCTGCGTACCTTCTAATCCATATCTCCAAGAGGTCATTTTAATTATCACACTGTCACTGCTATTCATTACTCTGCTTTTGGAGACAGAAAGCCAGCACTGTGCCTTTTGGATGCCTTGGAATTCATCATATGAAGGCATTTTATTCTCCCTAAAAAACGTGCACAGTTTAACCCCCTCACCTTGAAATACTGACAATATCAGGTTTGCTTGGTGTTTTAAATCATTTTCTTTCCAGTGGGATATCTCTTTCTTGTTTTCAACCAAGTTCCCCTTATCAGAGAGAGACTAACTAAGAAAAGCCCAGCTAATGCATGGCTAAAGCACAGACACATTCAGCTCAAGTTTTGTCAGATCCTGAGTAGCTTGTCCTTTTTCAGAGGCATGCAAAGCCAAATTTTTGTCCTGACTTGTACATGCTTGCTCTTTCTGGCTACAGTAATGCTAAGTGGGTGGAAACCATGTGCCAGTGGCTCCCAGGAGGTCAGTTGTGGTGAGGCTCCAGAAGTGTGTGTGAGGTCCTGAGACACAGAATGCAGACCTCAGCCTTGACCCTGCTTGCTTTCTGTTTACTTGTATGGAAAGGAGCTCAAGGACCTTACACAGAACTCCTTTCTATCCATTGAGATACAGATATGGGAACCATATTCAAAGACAGATGAGCACATATGAGGGCCTACTAGCTTCCTGGCTGTATCAGTGCAACCTAAGCTGCTCTCGGTTCTCTCTAGGATCACACTTTGGTTTGGTGTTGGTCACGCTCAGGCCTTGCAGCCAGGTCTCCATTGCTGAAGAATTGGGGAGTGCTTTCACAAGGGACAGTAAATTTCAATTACCTTGAAGATCTCTTTTAGCCTGTCATTCTCAGTTTTTCTCGTACCTTTTCATTTATCCCCGGGATGTGTTCTCAGACACAGGCCAGCATAAGGACCCAGCTGAGGCTGACTCTGTTGCTAGATCACATCATAGCGTTCAAGTCCTGGGAAAGAGGAGAGGAGCAACCGACCCACCTCTTTTACTAGAGAACAGAGTGTCTGGGACTACTGCTTCTTCAGGGCTACCCCACACCAAGAGGAGCTCATTCAGTCTTGTTTCAGATATCTTTCTTCACCCTCGGTCTGGTTAATCCTTTCTCTCTACATCCATTGGGTCTTGGCAACTTCTTTCCTCCAAGCCACCTTTGCAGCCTAACTCCTAGCAGAAGACAGGGAAGAGAAGACTCCTTCCCAAGTCTTCTGATGGGTTGGCAAGAGGCACTTCTAAGTGCACTCTCCCTTCCCATCCCCTGGGAGACACTCAGACTCCTGTTAGGGTCACCCTCTTTTACTCTCCAGTTTGAGAACCACCGGCCTTGTGCTTCCAACTCACATCCTTGGCAGAAGTTCCAATTAGTCACACCACACAGGAGACAAGACTGCCGAGCAACAATGACTTTGAGCAGAGATTTCATAGCTGTCCACGTAATGGGAAGGTGGTGAGGTTTTACTTGGAATTTCTTACAGTAGCGGCACAGCAGTCTTTGTTCATCCCTTTCAGCACTACCGCTACCTCAATCATACATCTGTTGGGAAGTCCAGTCTTTCTAGACCCCAACCAGTTTTTGCTGGAGGACCATGGTTCCTGCCAGTCAGACAGGTCTTGCGGTGAGTTTCATGCCTGCAGCCTGACAGTAACATTTCTCATATGACCCCTTTCCTCAAATGATCTGATAGAAGAGCAAAAAACCTAACCATGCAGCGGATGATAAACGGCACACGGAGGAGCGCCTGCCTGACTCCTAGAAGCTATTTATCAGGCTCTCTTAATGCAAGCTAACAGGGCTAGCACATGCAATTGGCATAAGAGCTTCTGAGCCTGACACTAAAAGGGGAGACATCACATGGTGCAGCAGGGGAGCCAGGACTCCCTCATTAGCTCATCGTATGGATTACCCCTTTAAAGAGGGAGATTTGAGGCTGGTGGAGGAAGGGGAGGCTTTCTCATTTTAACAAATGGCTTTTCAGCCCCTGCAAATGATTTTTGTAAACCTGTTGGGTCACTTTTTTTTTTTTTTTCCCCAGAGATGAAGGAAAAAAAGAAAAAGAAGCCCTGAAATTGATTTACCATCTATAAATAAAAAAGAATCAATAGTAAAATTTCTAGCTAATTTCCCTTTCCCTCTTTTCCCTTTGGACTATTTGTTATCTTAGAAATACTTGTCTGGGGAAAAAAAGAGAAACGTTATCGGTTCCAGACCGCGACGTGCTCCTCCACCTTGCTCTGCAGATTTTTTTTCCTCCTCCTCCTCCTCCTCCTCTCCTCTCCTCCTCTTCTCATCGTGTGGAGAGAGACTGGTCCTTCAGATGCACCTGGCTCCTCTTCTCTGGCTTGCCACTGGCACGGCTGTTCCCTTGGCCCTGCTGGGTTGTGCATTTAAAATGCGGCAGTTTTTCCTTCCTGCCAAAGGAAAAGAGAGAGAGAGAGGACAGGTATTGTAAAACATGGCGGTGTTTCAGCAGCAGGTAAGCCGTGTGTGGGGTGTGCTCTGAGGAGAAGCCATGTGTAAAGTCTCACAGTGAAGTGCATCTGTAAGGAAGGCTTTGGCAGCTCGAGACAAATTAGAGGTGGTTAAAGACCAGCTGGTGCCATCCTCCTCTGGCCAGAGCAGGGTTAGTCCTTCCAGGAGACTTCAAGGGCTTTGTGCTAGCTCTGAGATCTCTAGGAGAAGGGCCCCACCACTTGCCTTCGGGTAATGCACTTACAACTGTTTTCTCCTCACTGTGGCTCCCACATGCCTGAAATGTTTCACTTAATTTCTGCTCATTAACAGCCCTGGTATCACTGTGATCATTTCCTTTTGGGGCATGGACCGTTCACAGGACAGCTGGGTTCACGGGTCTGGCTTGCTCCCACTGCCAGGGGTGTTCACAACTGGGGCCAGACTCTTCGGTGACAGACTCCCGCTGCATAGCCAGGGAACACCCATTGCCCAACACATGATGCCAGTGCTTCCAGCATCCAGACCAGTGCCTTCAAAGAGCCCAAAGTGATACTGCCATTTCACCGTGCCCATTAACTCCAATTATCTAACAGTCATGCAGAACTTCAGTTGTCACTGTAGTTTGGAGTGTGGTGTTTCCAGTGCCCCTTTTGGGCCACATTCCCAGCAGAGCAGTGAGAATTTAACTCCTGACCTCCAAAGGAGCAGAGTTACGTGAGACACAAAATACTTTGGCAGTGATGCCCCAGGAGTTCACAGGCTAAGAACTGATCTCCTCACAACTCGGCACCACAGAAACAGCTCCTCGGCTTCCTGCAGCTTCTCTGGGGGAACAGACCTACTTTGTAATGCTTTGGCTCCTGAGAAGTCTCACTACTTGTTTCCCAGAGAAAATGCTGCTGGGTGTGTGTTTACGGTGTGCATGATGAATGTTTGCTACTTTAAGGAAAAGTAAATCTCTGTCCTTTATTATCAGTTAATCCTGTAACATTTCTATTCTATTTACTTACATAGCCTCGTTGCTCAGAGGCCTTAATTAAAATCCTGCATCTCACAGCCCAGTGCCCTCGCCACCTCTCCTCCCTCTGGGTCCTGACACACTTGTGTTTCACAGTGAGATGGGCACAAGCGACCGGACAGCCTCAGCCCTGGTGTGTTTAGCCGCTGGGCAGGGCAAGGCCTGGGAAAAAGTGGCACAACTCACACCGTTGTACCCAGAGACGTGGCTTCAATGAGAGGCTGAATGACAGGGGTTGCAGGTCCTGCAGCACCATCCCTCGCTGCTCAGGGTGGCTTGGCTAGCACCAGGCCATCGCAGAGTAGAGAGCTTTGCCTCACATCCCTCTACCAGCACCAGCAGGTCGCACTGGCACTGCGGAGGTGCCTCTGAGCCAAACGCTGGGACCAGGAGCCAGAGGAACCAGCTCTTGGCCGCCCACAGGCAGCCAAGGCAGCCCTACAACCCTGCCCGCAGACCACCGGCAGAGAGCGGGGTCCCTCCACCCTTGCCCCAAGCAGCACCAGCTCTGAGCAGCCATCATCATCCCCTCCGTGTACCAAGCTCCAAACTTGTGGTGCTGCATCTCCCACTTACCTTAGCAGAACGTGAATTACCTCCCCTCACCAAGCTGGCTCTGCTGCAGCTGTAAAAGCAGATATACCTTTTGATGGCTTCTCTTTTGTAAAAAACAGCAAAACCTGACTATCTATTCCCATGCTGCAGAAAGAAATCAAACTGCACTGTCAGCCTTGTTCACACCAACCAAGGAGCTCTGATGAGCCTTTGGGGTGCCCACTCAGACAGCTCCTGGCCCCCGCCCCAGTACACGCCATGCCCTGCTGATTTTGTTTATTCGCCCCCTATTGCCATAGCAGGACACAAATGGTCCTCTACTTGTGCCTGATCTACTCTTTGAACACTCAGTCTGGTCCCTCTAATATCAGTTACCTGTGTTCACTACGGCAGCTGGAGACCCAAGCCAAGCTGGTGTTGGTGCTATGCCAATTGCCCAGAGAAGCTGTGGAGGCCCCATCCCTGGAGGTGTTCAAGGCCAGGCTGGATGGGGCTTTGAGCAACCTGGTCTAGTGGGAGGTGTCCCTGCCCATGGCAGGGGGCTTGGAACTCAATGATCTTCAAGATCCTTTCCAACCTAAACCATTCTATGATTCTGTGAATTCCTACTGAGACACAAATGGTAGGAAGGGGAAGACCTATCCGTTCACATAGCCATGTCACCAAAAGTGAAGCAGACTTGGGGAGAACTGAAAGGAACAAGACAAGAAGAAATGGCTTTAAGTTGTGCCAGGGGAGGTTTAGGATGGATATTAGGAAAAATATTTTCACCAAAAGAGTTATCAAACATTGGAACAGGTTGCCCAGGGAAGTGGTTCAATTGCCATCCCTGGAGGTATTTAAAAGACAGGTAGACCTGGTGCTTAGGGACATGGTTTAGTGGTGGGTTTGGCAGTGTTAGGTTAATGGTTGGACTCGGTCTTCAAGGTCCCTTCCAACTTAGATGATTCTATGAAAAGAGCTGAGATGCAAACCCAGGTTTCCTGATCTCTCTACCCCGACTCACTGAGGAACTGGGCCCCTCTAAACCTGCATTCCCCACCATGCAGGTGGATGTTTGTTAATGCTTCTGCTTTTATTTGCAGAAGGAGGTTTCAAAATACATTTAAAAAGAATTGAAATAACGTAGGGGCCAATGGGGCACAAGGCTCAGAGGGCTTCACCTCCACCAGGCTTCCCCTCCCCAGTGCCGTCACAGCTGCCACCAGTTCAGCATCTACTGCATCTCCACAGTTCAAGCACCATCCTAAGGCACAGTGGCATTTTGAAGAGATAAACACTGAGACAAAAATAAGTAAATTAGGACCCTGGGAGGGAGACCTGAGAGGCACACTGAAGTGAGAACAAGCGGTTTCTCTGGTTCTGTGTATAATTACATTGACAAGTTCCTAGACAATGCTGGAGACCCGAACACAGCAGCAGCTGTGGACCAAATGGAGAATTCACACAAAACATAGGAAAGCCAGCCAGTCAATCCATCCCCTGCCCTGGGGCTGCATCAGCACTGCCCGTGTCACTGCTGACAGCCTGCCTGCCCGCTCCCAGGGGCAGAGCCAGCGCTGGATGCTCGGCTCCTGGCCATGCTGGGGCTGCCTCTCCCCTACGGACACGGATGTCTCTGCGCCCACTTGCCCAATCCACTAGAGCAGCGCTACCGAACATCATTCCCATTCTCCTCTCTGCAAGTGGAGGAAACAATATAATATGAATTGTGCAAGGGGACAAAAATGGTCTTAAACCTTCTTCCTTTGGAGGTAACACAGAGAAGAGAAATCCTGTCTAACTGACACCACTCACAGGTGGGATTTTTAGACATTGGCCTTTTTTAGCAGCCGTCCAGGCACCCACTGAAATGATTGTGAGTATCAACCACTCTGTTCACATCAGGTACTTGTGACAAAGTGATTTTTTTTGGACGTGCAGCCAATTGACAGACAGTCATGATCAAATCACAACTCTGCTGCATGCTTGTCGCACATACAACAGTTAATCTTGCAGCCGTGCAAACTGTTTTGCAAATTGAAACCTCAGAGGCATAGCAATTACAATACCAAATTTATACCACATCTCTCAGTCAACTAATTGTACATCCAAAAAATCACCACTTGAATAATCTGAATACATTCACCTTTACAGCTAAAAAAAACCCCACTACATGCTTGATCTCAACACAATTTTGAGTTACAGAACCTCATGGGAAAAATTGCCAACCTCTGATTTCAACAGCAAAATTGCTTCTATCTAAATACAGCAGATGCATAATTCACATTGAGGTCTAACATCTTGGTGTTTCCAGTGATGCTCCTCTTTACATTCTGCAAAATGGGGGTATTCCTCTTGCTTCTTGTAGCTCTCAGCCTGTCTGCAGGAAGACAAACCCTATATACATCCACTCCAAATGAAGTATACACGTCCATATCCAAAATAACTGTATCTGGATTTCTAACTGTTGGGAAACCTTAAAGGTCTTAAAATGAATCAGCAGACTTACAAACCAGGTTAACGTTTTAGATGAGCTGAGCCTTACAAAGCCACAGCCACGGGCACCCTTGTGCCACTGTGGTATTTTGAGCTCTTTCACACGCACATTTCTTGACTTTTGTTTCCACCCGGTGAAGCAAGTTGAGGTGGGGAGCAATAGATTTGAATTAGTGACTTTGCAGCTGGTATATTAAAGAGGGCCAAAATAGAAGAGAATTTGTGTTTTAATTGCAAAGGGAGGAGAAAACAAAGTTATACAGGCCACATGAGCGAGATCAAAAAATGAATCATCAAGGCTGGAAAATGGCTAACCTCTGATCCCTGAAACCAAGAAATCTGGCTGCTGTCATGTAGCTGCTGATCTAATTTTTACACTTTCCCCTCCATACAGAGGAGACACGTTTCCATTGCGTCCGTCGCAGCTAAACAATCAATGCCTGATTACTTCAAATGCTTTACTCTCGGGGATGCACAATTAACCAGGGCCGTATTTGACACTGCAAGGGGAGCGCAGTATTTTCTGGGAATGTCTGACGAGTTTCAAACGTAAAAAACACAAATCAAATGGCATAGCAGATAATGACACCTAGTGCCCTGGCAGTTAGACAATGTGCGTGCTCCAAAGCAAGGCCAATTAGAAGCAATAAAAACAAATTTGAAATGTTAGAGCAAAGGTCAGAAATCCTCAGCCATTACCACAGGCTTGATTTTTTTTTTTTTTTCCAAGCGGTCACCAGTGCCTATTTCCAGAAAGTGAGCAAAAAGTCATGCTTGCCAGATGACCACCCACCTATTACATCAGATTATGATTTCTGGGCCATACAAACCCCACTAACGTGGTGCATGGAGAATCCCAGCGCTATCTGGAAGTCTCATCAGGTCTATACCCTCTGGCCCTGCATT